GGCCATAGGCAACATTCTTTTACAAAAGGTGCAGAACCAGTCTGACAACGCATAGGAGACAGAGCACAGGGTTACAAAGGAACAGCTCTAATACGGAGTCAGATTTGTTCTTCCCTCTCACACTTTGATCCGGGTTCCTGACTCTTCTTGGCAGGAAAGTTGCATTACCCTGTAGGCAGCAAGCGTGTGTGGAAAGGAGAGATGCCTTGTTCGACTTCTCCACTTCTGGCCAGGGCACAACGAGTTGGTCCAGTGGCTGGTGGGAGGGGAGGAGGCCAAGGGCCAGCGTTGTTAGCGCACACAAAGTTGCAGGGCAGGTCCCCCAGGTGACTGGGGGAGGGCATACTCACCCCTGGGTATCCCTTGCTCTTGAGAGCACGACACTGAATAGCAAATTAAAAACGCCATGACAGGTTAAGGGCAATCATGGAAGAAAGAAATCAGCTTTCTATTTTAGTATTTTTAATGGCGATTTTTTTCCCATGCCATTTGAATGAGGGTTCCCACATTTTCATTTTGCACACAGCCCCATACATTAGGTAGCAGGCACTGCTTAGAAGGCTCTCCTTCAGCCTTTCCAATCTTTCTGGTATCCAGTCCCCAAAGCGATTTCTACTTTCTTCCCTGAACACTTAACCGCTGCAGATTACAGGGGACAGCTGGGTGATTGGGCACATGTGCAGTCATTTCCTGGGGATGACCAGAAATAGCTAGATGGCTAGAATCCAGGAAAAGCACTGAGGTCCTGCTATATTAAGTGGGTGGGAGGGACCAAGTTAGAGAACATTTGGATTATACTGTATTTCCTTAAACAAATACTGGTCAAGTCCACCCACGTACCGGGTGCTGGGGATGCAGCGGAGTCCAGAGTCAACAACAGACAGATAAATAGAGCAGCTGTGCTGTTCTCCAGGGGGAAGAACTGAGCGTGGAGGTGGGGGTAAGACAGGAAGAAGCAAAGGCAGTTGCTATGCAGCGGAGTCATTTTGCACGCATGTTTAACTTATGCAGAGTCAGCTCTATGGATTCACAATAAACCAAAAGAGATCATGAAAAGTATTTATTTAAACAGAGAAAATTATCCTGCCTTTCGTTCCAGAAAGTCAGCAGCACACGCTCCCAAGTAGGTATGAGATGTGGGTATAATCAACTCCTTCCTTGGTTCCCATCTCTTACCTGGATGAGTGAGGTGAGTGCATTTTTCATACAACATGGTCCCTAAACCCAAAATGAACATCAATATTTAGGCAAAAAACAGTCATCTGTTTCAACATGGGAGGAAAAAGAACTGTGCTTGATGTTAATGAAAAATGGTATCTCGCCTTCCAATGTGGTGCTATCTCAGGGGACTTCCATGGGAAGTTTTAACTACACACTATTTTCACCTCAGGCACCTAACCCAGGTAAAAGGAGACGCCACAGTCCTGAAGGAGCCATCTGTTGCTGGTTCTGGCCACCCCGCCCCTACCCACCACTGTTTCTGCTGCCTAGTCGTCCTGAAGTCCTCAGTCAGTGCTGACTGGACTTGGCCACTCGTGCCACACAGACCAACGACATGGCCGAGCACAGAAAGAGGGTCTGAACCAATCAGGCTCACACGTGTTCTCTCTCTCTCTCAGCATTTTGAACAAAAGCTTTAGAAAAGTTGGTCAGTAAGCTATTATCATCTGAAATGTAAAGATCATGCCAAGGTGGGAGGGTGTAGCTCAGTGGTAGAGTGCCTGCTTAGCACGCACGACATCCTGGGTTCAATCCCCAGTGCTTCCATTAAGAAATAAATCAACAAACAAACATAATTACCTCCCCAGCCCAAATTTGAAAACAAAAGATCATGCCATAAGGGTTACTAAAGAGATCATTGCAAGCCAACCTCATAGGGGAGCAGCAATGATAAATAAGCAGAACATGATGGCTTCAGGACAGAAAGAAGCCAACAATGTGGCATGTGACTGAATCACATGGTTAGGTTATTAATATTCACCTTTATTCACTTCATCATGAAGGGGCACATGAGGTGTACTGGATCAGAGACAGATTTCTTGTGAAATGCCTTGAGGTAAATACTAAGTCCATAAGCTCCCCTTCGCCCTAGTCCTTCCTTAGTGTGATGTGATGAGATCAGGTCAACTGGTCTATGCTAGGAGCTGGCAGCCCCATACACAAGAAATAAAGAAAGATCATTTTTCTCTGCTTGAAAAGGAGGAGGCAACTGTCCCGCCTCCCTCATGAAAGTCCTCCTTATACCAGCTCTTCCATATATAAACAAAATCTCTCCAGCAGCCAAATAGCCTCAGGCATCCTAGCTTTTAGGACCTAGAGATGCCTCTCAGGTCTGGGGCATCACTGTTTTTAACAGGTAGATACTGTTCCAGACTTCCTGGTACCTTGGGGCTTAATCTAGGGACCTTGTCTGGGCTGTAACCATTGCCCTCTTGTTGAGGTAAATTTTATTACCCTCTTGAGTCACAGCTGATTGCTAGATAATGGTACAGATCTCAGCAGGGAGACCAGAAAGGAGACTGGTTCAATGAACCTGGAGAAGATCAGGTGGTCTGGACCAGGGTCAAGGTGCTGCGGAGGCCGGGAAGTGCATGGAAGTGAGAGACCCAGGATTCCTCCTCAGAAATGAGGGATGGGAGAGTAGGGAGCAATGCTGAAGTTGGGCGCGTGCTTCCTATTCCATGAGTGGTGCAATCAAATGCCTGCAAGGCAGGGAATACACATGAGTGAAATAGATCTGAAATATTAGGGGTTGGTGGGGGCTTTGGTGAAGTGAAATGTCATGTCCCTATGTCCTTATGTCAATTAGTTTCTGTTGGATAACAAGCCACCCAAAACTTAGGGACTTTAAATAATACATATCTATTATTTCTCAGGATTCTACAGGTTGGTTGGGCAATTCTGATCTGACTCAGCTGGGGCTTGGTGGTCTAGGATGCCCTCATTACTGTCTAGTGATTGGCTTGATCTCAGCGAGAGCAGCGGGGAGTGCTGGGCCCGGCGCCACTTGTCACCCAGCGGCTAGCCTGGGCTTGTTGGTCCCAGAGTTCCCAAGAATAGCAGCACAAGAGGGCAAGTCTCAATGCACAAGCGTTTTTTTTTTATATCCCATTAGTGTCAGAATGGCTAACGTGTGATTGTTTCTGGCCAAGGCAAGTCATAGGGCCAAGCTCAGGTTCAAGGGGTAGCAAAATTGGGATGAGCTGCAAAATCATATTGCAAAAGGACATGCAGGTCGTTTCCCAATCTGCCACCCCCATTTAAAAGGGCAGTTGAATCTGCAGCTACAACTGATTGTTGTCCCACAAGCCCATGTTTATTATTTTTATATAGCTATTTGATAAATTGGCAATTCCTCGTTAGAAAGGTTGGTTTTAATTAACACTCTTCCCAGCCATATAGGATAGTCCTCATTTCCATGGCTTCAAGCATCCTGAAGGTCAAGTTAATGATGCTGTCTAGTTAATAAAGTCTTTGGGGAAGGAAACTGGTATCTGCAATTTATTTCAAAATGTATCAAAAATAATATCTTGGAGAATGACTGTGCGGTACCGTAAACTTAATCAGGTGGTTACTCCAACTGCAGCTGCTGTTCCCAAGGTAGTAACTTTGCTGGAGCAAATCAACAGACTGGTACTTGGTATGCAGATACGGACCTGGCTAGTGCCTTTGGATCCATACCAGTTTCAAGGATCACCAGAAGAAGTTTACTTTTACCTGGCAGGCCCAGCAGTATACCTTCACTGTGCTGCCTTGGGGCTGCATGAATTCTCCTGCTCTTTGCCATAATATTGTCCCTCCAAGATCTCAATCATCTCGACATTCCGCAAACCATCAGAATGGTCCATTATAAGAAAGACATTATGCTGATTAGTCCTGATGAGCAGAAAGTAGCAAGTACTTTAGATGCTTCGGTAAGGCATATACTCTATGAATGAGAGAATGGGGGAAAAAAACACCACTGAAATTCAGGGATCCCCCTTCAGTGAAGTCTTGGTGGTTCAGCGCTCTAAAGCATATAAAGATATCCCTTATGAGGTGAAGGACAAGTTGCTGCAACCTGCACTACCTGCCACAAAAAAAGAAGCACAGTGCTTGGTAGGGTTTTGCGGGTTTGTTTGTTTGTTTTTTTGGTGCAGGTTAAAAATTGAATAATAGTCAGTTACAATGTGTCAATTTCTGGCATACAACGTATTGTTTTGTTTGTTTGTTTTCTTTGGAGGCAACATATACCTCAATTAAGTGGGTTACTTTGACCCATCTTCAGAGTCACCCATAAGGTGGTTGGCGTTGAATGAGGACCAGAACAAGAGAGGGTTATGGAGGCAGTTCAGGCTGCAGTACACGCTGCGCTACCACCAGGTCAGACTCCCTCAACACTAACTCCTGTTGCATTGCCTTCTCTCCCTGAATCCAAGTCTGTTGTCCTCTGGCGTGTCCCTTATGATCAACTAACTGAGGAAGCACAAACTTGAACCTAGTTTACAGACAGTCTGCGCAGTACGCGGGTACCAGGCAAAAGTGGACAGCTGTGGCATTATAGCCTCTCAGGGATGAACCTGAAGGACAGTGGTCAAAACTTGAAGCAATGCATCTGGTTGTCCACTATGTCTGGAGTGAGAGGTGGCCAGGAGTATGGATCTGTACTAGTTTATGGTGTGGGCAGATGGTGAAGGGCTTGGAAGAGCCAAGTGTGAAAGACTAGTGACAAGGAAATTTAGGGAAGGAAGTATGTGAATGAACTTCTCAGAACATGCACAGATCGTGTCTTGTGTGAATGCCCACTGAAAGGAATCCACCGCAGAGATGATTCTTTAGAATCAGGCAGATAAAATGACACTTCCGTGGATGACAGTCAGCCTCTTTCCCAAACCACCCCAATACTGGCTCAATGGGTCCACAAACAAAACGGCCATGGTGGCAGGGATGAGGTCAACACGGACATCCCATCACCAAGGCTGGCCTGGCTACTGTTAAAGAAAGAACTGTGCTGACACTTGTTAAAATGGTCAGGCAGACTTTATTCAGGACGATCACAACAGAAGTAGGGAGTACTGCACGGAGTGTTTTTTGCAGGAGGGGAGAGGGATTGGGCTCAACTCTTGAACACAACAAGGGAAAGTGGGAGTTAGAGACAAGGAACAGGGACGGAAAATTAACAAGAGGGTAAGAGTAATTTGTTGCTAAACTGATCTCATAGGATTCTGGCTGAAGGCAGGTCAGGGTGATCAGATATTGCATGGGGGTATATGGTTGCGCGGGGCCAGGGTGGGTGAGGAATTTGGACAGATGTCAAGGATGAGCAGCTATCAAGGGTGGGAGGTTTTGGCTATACTGACTTAGCAGGATTCGTGCTACAACTGGACTCTATAAGGATGGAGACAGAAGTCCAAGGTCATCCTTAGCCAGGCAGAGGGCTCGGAGGAGTCAGACTCAGGTTTAGTCCAGAAAAGAATCTTTGTCACTACCACTACTGTCAAGTGCCTGATCTTCCAACAGCAGAGACCAATACTGAGTCCCAGATGTCACCATTCCCTGGAGAATCAGCCTGCTACCTGGTGGCAAGATGATTACATTGGACTTCCTCCATTATGAGAGGGGAAGAGATGGGTCCTTGCTGGGATCGACAGATATTCAGGATATGGACTTTCCCTGCCAGTAATGCTTTTGCTACTGTCACCACATGTGGACTCAAAGAATGCTGGTCCATGATCATGGCATTCTTCACAGCATCAGGTCAGATCAAGCCTCATTTCAAAGTGAAGGAAGTTCAGCAATATGCCCAGGACCACAGAACAAACTGGTCTTACCATGTATCCCATCATCCAGATGCAAATGAAAGGTACAACGGCTTATTAATGACTCAGTTCCAGCGTCTACAGTGCCAACTGGGAAGCACCACCCTGAGAGGGTGGGATTCCGTCTTACAGGATGCACTGCATGCTTTGAATCAGAGATCATAGTATGATGCTGTTCTTCCCAGAGCTGGAATTTATGAATCAAAGGGAAGAAGTGAGTGGGAACGGCCCCTCTCACTATTATACCCAACAGCTCAGGGAGACAGTGGGCAAGACTGCTGTGGCGCCCTCTCCTTCACAGGTCCCCACCTTCCCCGGACATCCAGTACTGTGGAAAGGCCAGTCAGAGGCAGCGGGCAGACACGCATGATTTTCAGTTTCCGATCCCCAGTGATGCCACAGTATGACCCCTCGAGGGGGCACAGTCTGGATTATGCTGGGGGCTACATGTACAGCACACCCGGGTATTGGGTTGCTGGGCAGAGTTCCACTGAATTCAGCCAAAGGCTGCTGCTGCTCCACCTCGTCAGAATGTACTCCAAACCCAGGGTCAATCATCCTCACGCTAACCTCCCAAAGCCTCTGCCGTCAGCCTGCTGGAGCTGGGGCAGGCCTGGAGCCTGGTGGAGAAATGCGAGCAAAAAGGCCACGGTCCATTCCATCTGGGTCGCCAAAATTTGTTACTGATCCTTTCCAGTCGAGCCCCAACAAGGGTCTTTCTGCCCGATGTCACTGGCGCCAATAGATCAAAGCTGAGTTTGGTTCTGAAGCAAGGGAAAGTTTTATTCTTTGATCAGAGTGGAGAGGTGTGAGCTCACGCTCTGGAGTACACACTCTTCCCCACGACAGGCTGTTGGCAGGGTTGCTTTATTGGGACCTCCTCTGCGGAGGGAGAAAGGGAGGGCGGAGCCCTTGCGAGTAGGGCGCCGGCCAGCTGCTCACCGCCTCTGCACACGGCCCTCTATAGGCTGGTGAAACTCAACTAAGCACAAAAGAAGAGATTACACTGTTACCACCTAGATTCCATCTTATTTTCCCCACGGACTCCAGTGGTCTTTGCCGGTGATACTTCCACGCTCAAGAGTAAAGGTTAATGTAAAACTACAACAACCGAGAAAAAGCAGGATGCCTGAGGATTTGAACGCTTTGAGAACGAAGGAGTGAGTCAGCTCTATCAGGTAAAGAACCTAGAGCAGTTCAAGTGATGGCTGAGGGTGAGGGAACAAAGGAAAGGGTGTTTAAAGAAGGAAGCCTCAGATAATCAACTCTGACCTCCTGACTAATCACAGAAAAGAAGACTGCATATTTCTTCTACACTTGTTACCTGCAGGGGTTTATTTGTATATATTAACCATTCTCTTCTTTCTCTTTCCTCTTTTTTTTTTTTCACTTTTATACATGAGTTACTATACTGGAGGTTAACATTACAATTTAGTCTTTAGGTAATGGAATATTCAGTGAGACTGACTAAATCTGAGGAGTAATACAATACTCCTATGAGTATAATACAGCCTGTGATGGACACAATGGCTGTTAGGACTCTGAGTCTTCTCATTCTGGGAAAAAGTAAAACTTCTTCACTTGTAAGAAGGCTAGGTAAAAATAGAAAGTTTTTTTGTTATTTTAAGGGGGTCCAAATGTGTGTGGATGGGTGCAGATGGGAGCTGAGTAGTCAACGAGGTGGACTGTATCCATCATCTGTTGCCTCTCAGCTCCAGATGCTCCCTTCAGTATGCGCTCTGTGATAAACAAGAGAACTCTTTTAGGTATGTCTCTTTTAAAGGCAGTACATTGTTACACTTTCTCAGTGGCGGGCACTGGAGTGACCACTGCAGGAGAAAGAGGCTTTCTGCAAGTTCCAGGGCCAGCAGGGGTGCAGTGTCAGTGGGGTGAGGGTGAGGACTTCCCACCCCCCACCTCAGCTTGCCAATAATCTTTCCACGGCCACCTACCCAGACTCCCTCGACAAGCCCCCCAACCTGCACACAGCCACCTTCCTGGGCTCCCCCAGAAGCCCCTGTGCACCCTGCAGGATGTCACCTGCTAAATTCCCTTGGCAAGCCCTTTGTGGCCTGCACCCAGCCACCTGTGTCCAGAGAGTCCGACAGCAAGCAGTCATTCCTTCTGCAAACACCCTCCATGACGTGCCCTAAAGGCCTCTGCCCCTGCCGGCACCCAGATGTCCACTGCATGCCCACCAGTGGCTAACTGCCTGCTCCCTGACTGCTCTCTAGTAATTTGTCCAGCAATTTCAGACCTGGCTAAACTAGCAAACTTCTCTGTGATCCAGTGGTCAAACCATACCTTCCCCAACAAGGTCTAAACCCTTTCAGCTCTCTCCTTCCTTGGGTACCCTCCCTCGACTCTAGGGTACCATATAGGGTTTCCTTATATCTTATAGTTGCTCTTTTATCATAGTCAATAATTCTTGTTCTTAACTCTCTGTTTAACCTACTGGGTGATTTCTATCCCCTGACTGGACCCAGATTGCCACAGTGGCTGCACCAGTTTGCATTTTTACCAGCAGTGTTATGAGAGTTACAGTTGACAGGGTTGAGACAGCTCAACTCTGACTGTACACAAGAATCATTTAGAATTAGATAGATATGAATATAGATATATCATTTTTTCTTAACCATTTTAGGGGAAGTTACAGGATAGGATACCCTTTTTACTCCCAAATACTTCAGCATGTATTTCCTAAAAACAAGGACATTCTGTTACAAAACCACTGTGCAATCATCAAAACCAAGAAATTAACACTGTTGACTGTTACTGTCTAATCTACAGATTTTTAAATTTGCCCGTTGTACCACAAACCAAAAGAAGAAAACTTTTAAATGATTTTTTTCTAACCCAAGATTCAATCCATAAATTTTGGGTTGTTAGGTTTTTCCTTTTAAAGTCCTTATCTGTTAGAGATATATATTTAAATATGATTTACGATGTTGGAATTTGCTTTAAAATACACCAATTAAGAAAAAGAGCTGAGTAGGGGAGATACATGAAAAACACGATAAGGATGACAATCACTGAAGGAGGTGATGGGTCCAAGACGGAGGTCCATGATACCTTTCTGCTTTTCTCTCAAGTTTTTAACTAAATATAAAAATACTTGATATATGAAACTTATCGTGGTAGAAATAATGGCTTTTTTTCCCTGCAAAGTAACTGTTAGCTCGGTCATACTCTCACATGAGCTCATTTAATGCTTTCAACAAAACTGAGGAAGATCCTGCCTTAGTCCCGTTACAGACAGGAAACTTAAGGCTCAGAGATGCAATCACCCAATCTATGTGGACAGAACAAGGAGTTCGAACCCCAGTTTATCTGAGCCGTCACTCGCTCTCCAAAACCAACTGGGTAGGGAGAGACCCGAAGGGCCTGACTGAGGCATTGCACTTACCCCAGGGAGATGCCTCTTCGGAAACAACTCGAAAATTTGTTCTCTGGGACCGCTTGCCTCTCCACTTGGACCAATAGAATTCCAAGGCGAGTTAACAGATGGGTGCTCTAACCATTTGGCGCGGGGGCGCGGGGGCGCGGGGAAGGGGTTGCAGCGTCGTCTCCGCCGGCCTATTGGACGAACCCGAGCGCGCCGCCGGGACAGCGCAGCCGTGAGGCCCGCCGAGGGCGTGGCCTGGGATTCCCCGGGAGGGGAGGGCGCCGTCTGTCCTTGGGTGGAGAGGGGAGGTGACTCCGGCCGAAGAGGAGGACTCAGGATGAGGGCCCTGCGGGTGAGGGCCCCCACGGGTCGAGCTGGGGCCCCCAACCCGGAAGCCCTCTCCCCTATACCAGACTCCCCAAACATCCTGGGATCTTCAAGGCTCGGGACTCGGTCCTGAAAAGCCTGGGAACCCTCCTCCCGGCTCCCAGTCCAAGAGTTTGAGACAGCCGGGGACCGTTAACTTGGCCCAAAGCCTTGGATTTGAACTTATTCCCCTCATTCAGGGGTCCCTGAACACCTTGGGATCTAGGCACTGGGAACTTAACACCTCTTCCCCTCCGGACTTTTTAGACAGCCGGGAAACCCCCTAGGTACCCCCTATCAAGTTCCGACGTTCCCAGGTTCTGAGTTCCCCAACTCGTGCTGACTTTTCGGAACCTCGCCTTTGAGACGCTCCCAAGGGACGGGACTATCCCCAAATCAGAGCCTCGGAGAGTCCGATACCCATCCCTCAGCGGGGCCCCCTACGGGACGCCCCTCCAAGTGCCTCCCAATACTCATTCACCCCCTCCCCACAGGTCTCCCAGGCACTGGTACGCTCCTTTAGCTCAACCGCCCGGAAACGCTTTGAGAACCGAGTGCCTGAGAAACAGAAACTCTTCCAGGTAGGCGGGGCGAGGGGAAGACCCCCGGCCAATGGCTGGCACCTGAAGAGAAGTTGGGGGTGGCGGGAGCTTTTCATCTACGGAGCAGGTGGTGCCCCTTTCTCATCGTATGCTCCAACATCCAGGAGGACAATGATCTCCCCGTGCACTTGAAGGGCGGTGCGACCGACAACATCCTGTACCGAGTGACCATGACCCTGTGTCTGGGGGGTGAGTACAATGCCGGGCTCAGGCCGGAACTGCAGGAGGAGAGGGGCTCCAGCTGGAGTGAAGGGGCTGGTTCCAGGGCTGGGGTTTTCGGAGGGGACTGGGTCCTGAGCTTGCCAGGTGTGGGATGGTAGGGGATTCCGGGCTGGCATAAAGGGAAGGAGCACCCTGGGGCTTGGGCTTCTGTCCCAGGAGGGGGCCTGGGCTAGTGATGGGTCTGGGGAGAAAGCCTGAGGCCTAGTCTGGATAAGGGTCCAAGATTTCCCACTGGAGACTCAAGGGGGTCTGGGATCCAGGCTGGTGACTGGGGAGTCTGCAGAGGGGCTCAGAAGCCTGAGATGGGGTTCAAGGAGGGGATCAGATTCATTGTATATTCCCCACACTCCTTCCCTAGGCACTCTCTACAGCCTGTACTGTCTTGGCTGGGCCTCCTTCCCTCACAAGAAGTGAGACCAAGTCTGCAAGACCTGAACAAGCATCAATAAATGTGCTGGCTTCTTGGGGAACCCAGCCCAGTTCTGGCCTCTGTGTGTGTGTCCCCCCACAGCCCCTCTTCCCACCAGCAAGTGACCTCTGTCCTGTGGACAGCCCATTACCCCAGCCCTGAGTCCCTCATGCTAGACCAGGGCTATTCCTAGGATGTTGCTGCTCTCAGCCCTCCCAGAGGGGCTGGGAGCCCCAAACAACATACCTCTGGGCTGCCCTTCAGGGCCTGGGGACCTGGAGTGGGACTGTGTATCCTGGGATGGCAGCCCCTCCCCCTGCAGAGGCCCGAGGGTGTGAAGGAAGATGCTAAGCATGGTTCATGACACCACAGAGGTAGAGGCAATGGAGGGCAGACTCACTCCAGCACCAAAGCTGAGAGGGACAAACATGGCCTTGGGGGACAGAGCCAGGAGTGGCACTGAAACCTCCCAGCAGCCCAGCTATTGCAGCAGAAGCAGAGATGGCCCAGGCTTGCAGGTCCTGGTCTTGGTCTTCACAGGACCTGTGAGAGATCTCAGCAAGAATGAGACTACAGCTTAACTGGGATCCAGAATGAGGAAAAAAACCAGGACTAGGAGACCTGCAGAGACAAACCCACCTCACTCCCCAGATCTAGAATCCCTCTGCCCTAGACAGAGCCAGAGTCACCCCCCAACTCTCAGAACAGGAGGCAGACCTCAGAGAGAACAGCAACTGGGGTGCGTTTATTTCCTCCTGGGCCTGGCAGGCTGGGAGCAGAATACAGACAAAGGCACTGGGGCATGTGGGCCTGTTAATGGCCTGGAGTTCTGCTGCCTAGGTGGTAACTGGGCGTAGAGACTGGAGTGATACTCTCAGAACTGAGAGAAGGGCCCTTGGGGTGTGGAAGCAACACAAGTACTAGGCTTGGCACAGGTGCAAGAGAGGGGTTACAGAGTGGGTGTGAGATGGGTGTGCCAGGGCTGGGGTAACCCTTGGGGCAGGGCATGTTGGGGCACGTTGGGCTCTGGCTTTTGACTGAGAGCCGGGTACTGAGGGCTGGGAGAACGGAAAGGCCTGTGGGTCAGCAGGACCCGAGAAGATGTGATTGCAGACAGGATCAGCCCTGGGAGAGACTGAAGAGTCCAAGCTGACTCCTACAGCGAGGCGATGAGGGGGGCAGGTCTGGAGCTCCCCTTCAGGAATACATGGTCAGCTGCAGCCACTGGGGAGAGGAAGGCACTGAGAGTGAGGAGCAGGGCACCTAGGAATACCAGCAGCCCTTCTCTGTTCTCACCCAGGGCCTGCTGGGAAAACAGGAGGGAGGGAGCCCCAGCCCAGAGCTGGCACATGGGACTGAGGGGAGGGTCCCCTGGTGGGCCCCCACATCCCAGGATGGGGGTTCTTACCTCCTGGATGTTCACCTGGATTTGTCCAGTACCATCTTTGTCAAGAGATTTGAAGGCACCTGGAGAAATGAAGAGTTGAGGGGATTAGCTTTTAGGATAAAAATATACTAACATATGGGATAATGATAATAATGGCTAGTACTCTGTGCCAAGCACATAAAGTGCCTCCCATATATTAACTCATTTAATCCAGTTCTGTGAGAGTGTCATTTTTAAAAAGGCACAGAGAAGTGAAGTGATGGGCCCCATGTCATCCAGCGAGAAAGAGGAAAGGGATTGGAACCCGGCTGTTACCCACCTCAGTGATGGCCTCCTTAGGCTGACCTGCACACCCCTCCCTCTTCACCCTCTGCCCGAGCCTGGAGCGCCAGCCTCCCATCACGCTCTAAGCTCCACACCCTCCAGTTCCAGCCTAAGCAAGCTACTGGAAGCAGGCTCTGCACTTCCCGCTCCTAACAGTCTGGTGTGGTCCCTGCTCCTGTCCTGAAACTCGGCTCCATGTTCCCCACTCACAGCCAAACCTAGGCAAAGGGTGCCCACACTGTCCTGCTGCTTCTCTCTCACCCGCTGCTCAGTTACCACTCTCAAGTGTCCACACGCGTGATGTCCCGGACGCTGCACTCACTAGTTACTCCTGGCCCCCCAGCTGGTAAGTCTGAGGCAATTTCTTGGGCTGAGAAGAATAGATGACTCATACATGACTTGTGGCATCAACTGCCCTATTGTCCACTTCCATCTTCCCTTTGTGTCCCTGACATACCTGCCCCTTTTCCTTTACCCAAGCTCCTCATGCATTGTCCTCCCTGGGCTCTTGGGAAGCCAGGAGATCTTCCTAAAGCTCAACCTGAGACCCTATCCTCCCCCTGCCTAGAACTTGCTGTGGCTCTCCATTGACCCCAGCAGTGTCAGAGCACCCCTGAACTCGGCATTCACAGCCAGGCATGGCCTGAGCATGCCCACTGCTCCTGCCTCCCTTCACTCAACTCTCTCAGGCAAATCTGAGTTCAAATTCTAGCTCTGCAACTTCCTAGCTGAGTGGCTGTGAGCAAGGAATTTTAAGAAATGTTGCCTCCTTGAACCCCAGGTTCCTCCTCCAGAAAATGGGGACGATAATTCCCACTCCTCAAGGCAGTCTTAAGGATTCAGTGGATTAATGTTACAAGGACCCTCGTGATCCAGCCCCTACCGGCCTTGTGTCTCCCCATCACCTCTTTCCTTTTCAGCACTCTGAACTGAGTCCAACAAGAAACACCCAAAGCACCATCTTCTCTTTCCTTTCTAGGCCTTCACATAGGCTGTTCCCACTGCAACACTCATCCCCACCCTCTTGCTGGGGTCACTCCTCATCGTTTGGTCTCAACGCACATGTGCCCTGCCCTCCCCTCTCCAGGAAGCCCCCCTTGACCCCATAAGTTGCACCAGGTGCCTTGTTAAGTTTGAATAGCTGTCAGAGCTCCCCTAGTCCCAAATCTAAACCCACTCTACCCTGAGCTTGCCCTCACAGCCCCCATCACTGTCTAGGCCTCCCCTATCCCAGACGTAACCATTCTGAGCTGCCCTGTCGGGCAACTGGCCTCCTGCTCTGGACTGTGAGCGACATGAGAGCAGGAACTACAGGTGTTTTAGTCTCTTCTGTGCCCCTGACATTGCCCACCTCAGGGTCAGGCTCAGAGGAGACTTGGCCGATGGAGGCTGGACAAATCCCCACCCAGGAAGAGAGATGGGGTGTCACTCACGGAACATGGCATCCAGTCTGACCAGGCAGCTGATGAAATTGTCAAAATCCATGTTCCCTGCCTCGTCTGAGTAGCGTCGGATGATCATATTGTAGAGATGCTCATTCAGGTGGAACCCTGAGAATGTTAGTCTCTCAGGCATGGGGGCCTCAGGGCCCAACCCATTCCCAGCTCCAGGACTGAAGCTCAGACCAGCTCAGTGGGGGCTGCCTCACCAGTCCCACCCTCAGCCCCCCATGTTCCAACCAGCCACACCTGCTGCTTCAAAGGCTCCTGGGAGTTCACTGCTGCCAATGGTCCCTGAACGGTCAAAGTCAAACTGTTTGTATACGGACTGTGGGGACAGAGAAGTCAGGGTTCAAGTGAGCATCGTGGGGCATGGCATCTCCATGGCTTGGGGGTCCTCATGCTAGGAGTTTCAGAGGCTGCATATACCTGCCACTTTTTGATGTTGTTCCACAAGTACTTGAATTCCTCGAAACCCAGCTTGCCAGTTGTGTCACTCTAGCAGGAGGGTGTTAAGAATAACTGTACCCAGATGTGTGCACTGTGCACCCTGCATATGTGATGATGATCACAGCCAAGCAGGGGACCCTGGGCTAAAACTTCAGCTCTCATTCCCACCCACACCCCAGTCATGTCACCTGGGGTGTGGCTTCATTTTTCATTTCACCCGTACCTATTTTAACTTATATTTCTAAAAAATAAGGACTCCCTTTTGAACATAACCACATGGAATTCCTCATTTATAAAATTCCTTGATAGTAATTCAGCTTTATAAATGTTAGGACATGTAAAAAACAAGGGTATCAGAACTCCAAGGAAATAAGGTGGTGACTAAATATACCTGTTGGGCTTGTGATAAAAAGTGAATGATGCAAAAATACATGCACCCCAGTGTGCACAGCAGCACTATTTACAACGGCCAAGACATGGAAACAACCTAAATGTCCACTGACAGAAGACTGGATAAAGAAGTTGTGGTGTATTTATGCAATGGAATATTACTCAGCCATAGAAAAAAATAAAATGCCATTTGCAGCAACAGGGATGGACCTGGAGATTGTCATTCTAAGTGAAGTAAGCCAGAAAGAGAGAGAAAAATACCATATGATATCACTTATACGTGGAATCTAAAAGAAAGACACAAATGAACTTATTTACAAAACAGAAACAGACTCACAGACATAGAAAACAAACTTATAGTTACCAGGGGGCAAATGGGGTGGGGAGGGATAAATTGCGAGTTTGAGATTTGCCAAAAAAAAAAAAAAGTGAATGAGATATTTGTATAAAGCCCTTAGCAAAGGGGCTGGCATTTGATAAATTCTCAATAAATAGCAATGATAGCCAAGTGGCCAAGGCTTATCAAACGACCTAGTACACATCCGACAGTGCTATTTCTCAGGAACATTTGTCTCACTAACTCGAGACACTAGCCCCACCAGTGTTATTCCCTAGTGACAGAGAAACAGATTCAGAGCTGAAAAATCTACCTGGATGAGATCATGTAACAGCTAGTGTGTACAGACCACTTACTATGTGCTGTGCACTATGTGAAACCACCTGCAGGTAACTCCAATTTGTTATCACCCTTATGGTTCACCCAATTTTACAGGGAGGCAAATTGAGGCAGAGAGGCTCAGTAACCTTGCTGAGAGGCAGAGCTGGAATTGTTTAACCCTATGCAACACATGTATGTGATCATGTGACACATACATACATATATATAAATATATAGGTGTGCAATGCTGTGCTGAGTGTGCATGTATCCAAAATCAGTGAATGACGGGCCTGTGTGTGTTCCCGTGCACATGCCTTCACATATCCTCATGTATGTGGTGTGACCTTGTCAACGTGTGTGCACGAGGCAGTTTTAAGCTGAAATTCTCAAGCCCAAAAGACCTGAGTCCAAATTCCTAATCTGCCACATACTTTTTTTTTATTGCGGTATAAATTGATTTACAATGTTATATAAGTTTCAGGAGTACAATATAGTGTTACACAATTTTTAAAGATTATACTCCCACTTACTATGTATAACTTCAGACAAGTGATTGCCTCTCTCTGAGTCTCTTCGCCTATAAAATGGAGTATAATAATTGTGCCTAACAGGGTGGCTGTGAAGTAAATGTAAGTAAGTCCCAGCTGTGGACAGCTGATATTATTATTTATTGCCACATGGCCATGGGTGGGTGTGTGTTTTGATGTATACATGTCCACATCTACACCCTGTCTGCTCGTCATGCCCTCAGAAAATCCCTTCTTCGCCAAGGCCTCCCCTAGACCGCCCTCAAGGATACATCCATCACGGCCACCATGCTGCGACACGTGTCGATGCCAAAACCATCAGTCTTCAGATCAGGATCTGTGGGAAACAGGTTGAAAGTCAGAGGCCAGAGATCACAGTGAACGCCATGCCTCTGAACCTGCCCTGTATGTTGACCCCTGGTCACTCACGTCGGGTCACGACTTTGTTGAGAATGTTCATGAGTTCTGTGGCACTGACCTCCATGTCCTGGGGGGAGAAGTTAGGGATGGGTCAGGGGTGACTTGAAAGGGTCTGGGCATGTCATGAAGGAGGATGGGAACTCTGGGATTGCTGTAGTCGGGTGGGTATGTAAAGGGCAGCCCAAGGGAAGGCATGGAAGGGTCAGGATGGGTCTGGGGGCCCCATGTTACTTACGTCTCCAGCCAGCTGGGCAAAGAGCCTCCGGAACTGGCGGACCTCCTCGCTCTCATTGGCTTCGATGTTGGAGTAATGGGTGCGAGGGGGCTGCAGAGGGAGGAGATCTCAGAGCAGGTAGGGGGAGGGGTGCCCTGGCCAGGACAGCCCTAGGTGAGAAAGTCACAGTGGGCTGGGCGGCTGAGTGACGAAAGAATGAGAGGTGGTCGGTGAATAAGGAGTGGGGTAGAGCTAAGTTTAAGGACATGACGAGAGAGAGAATTAATGAGGAATTTCATAAGGAGAGGTGTGGGGCTTCTCCAAAGGGATATGAATGGGTGCTGGAAAAGGCCTTGGAGAAGAGAGACCTGTGGTTGCAAAGGGAGGCTTACCGGGGGCTCAGGGTTGTACTGCGCAGCCGCCTCACTGAAAGGATCCATGAAGGGAAACATGCGGCAGTTAGCGCCAGGGGGCGGGGCCTCCAAACGGCAGCACCAGCCCCCAGGCCCCAACCCCCAACCCCCACCCCGCCACCCTACCTACCTGCTCCCTCCGCCTCATCAGTCCTCGCCTGTCCCTACCCTTGCTGCCCTGGTTGCGCCCCCACGCAACCAGGATTCTCTTGCCAGGGCACACCTACCCAATGGCAGACTCACAAGACCTAGTCCCTCCGAGGGCTTGCTTCATAGAAACTCGGCCCCAACCTTCCCTCGACTCCACCATTCTCAGGTCCCACCTGTCTAGGAACCTACTTCATCTCCATGACTTCTGAACAGTTGTGTCGTCCTAGCATCCCACCCCAGCTCCAACAGTTCTCACCCCTTCAAAGGATCACACTCTATGCTGTATGCCAGAAATTAACACAACATTGTAAACCGAATACTGCAATTAAAAAAAAGATCACATTCAGTGGCCAAGACTAATTAGGCCCTTATGGACCACATGCCCTACCTCCACCTGGACGTTATTCTATTTTAATCCAGCCGGTTCCCAGCCAGGCTCTGCCCCTTCAAGGTCATTTCCTTACCTCATTAGGCCTAGACCTCTTCTAGGTACACCTCCTCATTAACCCACCTATATGGAAAGCCTTGCCCCCATTAAGTGATACTCAGCATCATTAGCTCCGCCCCCTTAACGTTTATCTCAGGTTAGCGGAAGTTAGCCATGCCAGACCCATTAAGCCCCACCTCCCAAAGCCCCGCCGGGTCCCATCAGATTGTGTACCCTCAACAGTCAGACTAAGTCCATGTCAAGCCCCGCCCCCATGAACTCATTAGGGCCAGCCGCCTCAAGGCCAGTCTCCTAGCCCAGGCCCGGCCCAGCCTAAATAAGGTTCCTGGTCAGTGTCCAGGTTGCCCCATTCTATTCTTGCTGGACAAGCCTCCTCCTCCGGGCTTCTCCCCTCATCAGGCCCCGCCTTACCTGATGGCGCTAATGACCCCGCCCAGGATGCGCATGGCAGTTCCGCCACCACCACCGCCGCCACCGCCTCCACCTCCTCCGCCGCCTCCTCCGGCCCCGCTGATCAGGCCTCCAAGCACATTCCCCAGGCCCCCGCCCAGGCCCCCGCCTCCCCCGCCGCCGCCGCCGCCACCCTTCAAGAACGAGTTAACCAGGAACATGGCTGTGATTCCAGATTCCTGTAGGGGGAAAAAGGGGTCAAGTCCTTGTCCCGTCCGTCAGCCCGCCCCCTTCTCCACAAAAATACGCATTTCTGGCTGCTGGACGTGGAGGGGAGTAATATGAAGCCTCTAGGAGGAGACCTATCCTCCAGCTGGGGTTTGAGGATCCTTTCGGAATGGGGTCTGGGCTTCTAGGGGAAGGTTGTTCTCGGGTGGATGGCATAGGGACGGATGATCAGATTTGAAACCTCCTCCCGGTCCAAAGTGTCAGCGTCTGGCTTGGAGGACCCTGGACTGAATCCACGCATAACCATCATTAAGCACCAGACACCAGCCAAGTCAACTGGAGTTTTAAAGATGGGGGCCCTACGTTGGCACTCGAATCTGAGATCCAGAGCCTCAGAACTGATTTAGGGGTCTTGGGCGGGTCAGGGGCGAGGATCGGAAATTCTCCTCCTGGAGGCCCCTGGAGCGGACTTTCAGAAATCCAGAATGTGGGCTTGAGAGTTTAGATACAACGAACAGCGAGATCACAGTGTTATCGTTGGGTCTCTGGGTTCGGGTCTAAGATTGTGGGTGTGAGCCCTGGGGCCCGAGATAACGGAGTCTCTATTAGAACTGAGAGCACGGATCTAGAATAGTGCTTCTGGAGGCCGCACCCAGGGCTGAATTTACAAGACCTCTCAAGTCTATGAGCTGGTACTTTAGATCCTGAGAGAGAAGGTGGAAGAGTCCAGGGCGGGATAACTGAGGCCGGACAGGTCTGGGAGTTCGAATCTGAGATCACGGGTCGGGGGGTACCCCTGTGCCCAAGATTTTACGATCTCTTCGGATCTGAAGGCCGCAGGGCCGGGATCAAGGAGTGCAGGGGGAATCCGGACTGGGCGCTCACCGCCTTGCTCACACGTCCGCCGGTCCGCTGGTATCTGCTGCTCCGGGGCCTCCGGCTGCGTCCGGCTGCGCAGGGCGGGGCTGATGACTCAGAAGGCCGCAGCAGGGTTAGGCACAGCGGAGTGGCCCAGTCGGCATCCGCGCGGTCCTAGCGCCAACATTGGAACTGCGCGTGCCGGCCCGCCTTCTGCAGCGGGACGCGGCCGCCGAGGCTCCGCCCTGCGTTTCCGGTGCCGAGCGGTCCAACTCCGCCCTGACTTTATAGAGCTGAGGTCTTCCCCTGCAACCTCTCCAGTTCAGGTGCAGGCACCCCGAGGTGACCTGGGCAGTCACCGTGCCCAAGGTCACCCCCCTAATGTTGTAGTGTGAATTTTCTTCCCAAAGCCAGCCTCCACCCGCCCACGGATGTGGTTTTCTGTCCTCTTGGAACTTGTCCCCTGACCTAGCCTTGTCTCGACAAACACCGACAAGTCTGGAGGCCCCGAATTTTGTCTGGCCCACAGTCCGAGGACAAGCGCCCGCATATGTGGCGGGGACACTGCAGGCACAGTCCGGGTGGCGTTCCAATTCCGCCTCCGAAATCCGCCTCGTGCCTCCTCCATCCGCACCCCTTTACCCCCTAATTCAGGGTCACCAGAATCATTTTCCCTGGATGGGCCCAAACTGTAGTCCCAATCTTCCAGTCTCTAAAGAGGGCCCCTGACACAGTAAGAGTTCGCTGGCCACAGCCTGGTTTCTGAGGATAGATGTTCCCAAGGTCGGGTGGTGGGCTGGGTGGGGAATGCAGCTGAGAGGGACATTGGCGACCGAAGCCACCTTTGAAGCCCTTTCGCTTGCTCTCTGGTTCCAACCTCCAACCTGTGAGCACCCAGTACTTCTTCAGGACTCCTCGGATGAAGTTAAATCTGGCTCCCACAAGCAGTCTGTCTGTCTAGCCCTTAGCCTCGTTCTAGGAAGCTGACTCAGCTTGAGTTTGAATCCTGGTTCTGCCCCTTAATAACTTGGGATCCCAAAACAGTGACTTGAGCAATGGTTTTTGAATCTGTACAATGCGAACAAGGGTTCCCATGGCCCACTTTCTAGGCCCCTACCAGAATTAAATGATAAACACTTAGTCAATCGTAGGTATTATCCTCTGGGTCTGTACCTGTGCAGTTTCCTCTGCCTGGATCCCACCCTGAGGTTCCTCAGGCGGTTGACTCTTGCTCATCCTTAGAAAATACTGATTAAAACAACAACAACAACGACTGCCAAGCACTCCCTTAAGTACTTTATATATATTAGCTCAAGTGTCCTCAAAACAGTCCTATGGGATGTATGCTATATATTATCTCTATATTACAAATAAGTAAACTGACTGAGTAAACTACCTAGTTTGTATTCTTAAGCACTCCTCAATGCTGAGTCTTCCATAATATAATAGCTCAAATAACAAGATCACAACAGTCAAAACCCCAATCACAGCTGTGCTTCCTGAAGGCTCGCTGCGCCCACTACGCAAGCCTTGTCTATAAGGCAGAAACTAACAGGAGAGAAAATGGAGGCTCTGAAGGCAGAGGTCACAGAGGGTGGCAGGACCAGGTCTGTACGTGGGCTTGGCTAATGCCAAAACTTTTGGTGATGACTAATCTGGATTCCCTTCTCACCACACCCTTCCCTGCCAGACTGTTAACTTCCTTCTCTGCCCTCTCTGGGGCTCACTAGCTGCATGTGCTGTGCCCTCTACCTGGAACACTCCTTCTGCCTTTATTTTTTTGGCCTGGTTTTGTAGTCTCTCTACCTCTGGATGTCAGCTCAGGAGTCAGCTCTTCTAGGAACCCCTCCCATTCTGAACCTGAGATTAGGCAAAGCGTGCAGTTACAGTCTTGTGAATTTCTCAAAGCACTCACTGCCAATTACAATCATACTGTCATTCAGGTCTGTCTCCCTGAACTCTTAACTCTGGCCAGCTCCAAATCCTAGCCTTGGTTCTCCTCTCTAGCCCACACCGGCCACAGTGGATCTCCCCACATGCATGGCTTAAATTCTACCTCGAGGCTATCAACACCACAGTTTCTATCTTCAGCCCAGATATTTCTCTCTCCAGGTTCCTACATTCTCCATCCTGCTCACTATCTCCATGGGGATCTGAGAGATGTCTCAAGCTTGACACATCCTAAACTGAGCTCCTGACCTTCCTCCCCAACCTGCTGTCTCCTCACCTTCCCCATCTATGTTAATCGCACCTCAGTCCTTCTAGTGACTGACACCAAATACCCTAGGTTTGTCCTTGACGTCTCTTTCAGACCCACTCCAGCCTGTCAACAAACCTTGGTGACTCTACCCACAGAATCTCAATGCTCTCCACCTCCCCCACCCTCAACCTGGTCCCTCACCTTTCCTGAACCATTAGAAGAGCCTCTTCCCTGATCTCTGCTCCTGTGCCTGCCCTGGAAGTCTTTTCCTCAAATGCAGCCAGGGGGAGCCTGTGAGCACCTGGGTCAGATCAAGAGCATCCTGGCTGAGATTATATATAGCATTCATCCCATAGGACTGTTATGAGGATATTTGAAGACGTATGTAAAGTACTTAAGGGGGTGCTTGGCTGAGCTCCCCTCTCCCTTGCCTGCACCTGCCCTCAGATGAGACAAAGTCCTCACCATGGTCACCAAGTCCCTAGTGATCTGTCCTGTCACCTCCCTGCCCTCATCTCCTCCTCCTTAGGAAAGTTAAGTGGCAGCGTGACCTGGATTTTTCTCAGTTGAACACAGACAAGACACAGATAAGGAGGCCCTGCAAACCCAGTGACATCCAAAGAGCCCCTCTCTGGGCATACTTGTCGCCAACACTCCATTACAAAAGCCTCTCTAGACCCTCCTTAGTGCCTCACCTCTTAATGCCTCAAGTCTACACACCTGGTGATCTCAGGAGGGGCCTCTCATGTCTCCACTTTGGCCCCCACGCTCCCCATTCCACCTGACACTGCTCTTAACCATTTATCACCTGCTAACATACTGCAGAGTTCACTTATTTATTCAGTTTCTTGTCTGTCTCCCCCTTGGAATGTGAGTTCCTTGAGAGCAGGGATTCCTGTCTGTCTTGTTCACTGCTCTGTACCCAGTTCCTAGAGCAGTGCCTGGCACATACTAGGTACTCAAATATTTGTTGAACGAAGGAAATGTTTTGTGTGGATTTTCTCATTGAATTTCCAGCATCATCAGTGAGATAGTAGAGCAAGCATTACTAAAATCTTCCACCATCTTCCAGATTCCTTTGAACTCAGACCGGGTTATGTGACTTGCTTTGGTCAATAAAATGTGAATGAAAGTGTTGGGTGTGTCACTTCTGAGTAGTAACATTTGAAAGCCAGTGTAGGACGCTTATGTGCTAATTCCCTGCCTAGGCAACCCTGGAAGCTATGCAGGCACAGAGATGCCACATGAAGGATGCCAGCTGGATCAATGAACCATGGCATGGAGGACATCTGCCACTTCTGTGAGCAAGAAATAAATTTTGAGGTGTTAGTCCACTAGGGCTAGAGCTCACTTGTTACATCAGCATAACCTAGCCTGTTCTGACTGATGCAGATAGAAGTTTTTACAATGCCACCAGATTACCAGAGAGATGGGATTGCTTGTCCAAAATCACACTGCTAGTAAGTGCCAAAATCAAGATTTGAACCCAGGAGATGGACTTTGCAACACATGCTTTAAATCCTCACAATTTGTTGCCGCAATGATGTTAATGTTACAACGCCACCAATTAATAAACTCAAAATAGTCATTACTACCCTAGCTAATGCCTCCCGAGGGTTTGATGGAGTAACTGCATTACAGGCGTGTCCTGCAAGGCCTCTCACAACCCTGGGAGAAAGGAACTAACATGAAAGGAAGTGGAGATTCAGGGGGTGGAGTCATTTGCCTGAAGGGATGGCAGAACCGGGTATAAACCCAAGCATGATTGATGCCAAATAGTCCTGTGATGACTAACCCAGTTTACTGTATCTTCACTGCCTTCCCTCCACTGGTATATTAGTCAGGGTTCTCCAGAGAAACAGAACCATAGGCTATATGGAGAGACAGAGAAAGAAAGAGATTTACTTTAAGGAAATGGCTCTTATGACTATGGAGGCTGGGAAGTCACATGATCTGCCACCTGCAAGCTGGAGGCCAGGAAAGCCAATGGTTTACATTCAGGTACAAGTCTGAAGGCCGGAGAACCAGGGGAGCCAGTGGTGTAAGATCCAGTCTGAGCACAGAAGACTGATTCCCATCTCAGTAGTCAGGCACTGCGTGAATTATTCCTTCTGAAACTGAGCAGAACCCAGAAGGGACAGACCCCTCCCCCAACCCCCGTGTCCCTTGCCTCTTGTTTGTAGAAAAGCTTTAGCCTCCTTTGTCTTCCCTGGGTTCCAAAGAGCAAACTTAATCAGAGAAGCGAGAACACGCAGAAACAAAGGAAAACATTCAAGCAAGACAGAATAGTAACAGTTTAGCCATAAAACAAAGTCAGGGACCTTTAGTTCCTCCTCAAGGGCTACAGATATTATCCTTGAGTTGTTTTGCAGATACCAAAACCCTCATCAGGCAGAAGAAAATAACTGCATCAGGCAGAAGACAACCATGTGCAGGGAGCCCCCAGACTGGCGGGAGCCTGAGAATTGATAACGCTGACCCCTGTGACCTCATGTGTTACCTCGCTACCCATCAATAAGAGAATTGTGCATGAGTCGATCACCTACCCTGCAACCCTCTCCCTCACTGCTGTCTTTTGTTTTTCATTTTTCAGTTGTATTAGGTAGAATTGTTACAATTTGACTGCACATATACAATATATGGCATGTAAATACATATACACAATATACTGCACATTTTTAAAAAATATACATATATGTACTGTTCATTGTTTCTAAGAACGTTTAGAGCTTTAGCTTTTTAAACTTACACAGTTATCAAAGAAATAAAGCCAACAAAAAAATAAGAATTAATTTAAAAAGATACATACACCCTGCTATTAACAGCCACATTATTTATAACTGCCAAGATATGAAAGCATCCTAGGTGCACATCAATAGATGAATGGATAAAGAAGATGCAGCATATATATGTAATGGAATATAACTCACCCATAAGAAAGATATTTTGCCATTTGCAGCCCTTCGTTCACTTT